ACACTCTGTGCCATATTCCTGAACTGCAATATATATGGGAAGTGAAGGGCTAAAGACAGCAGCTCTGCTCCGGAAGGCTGCCAGCAGGAGCAGCTCCACGTCCTGGCCCTGGCCACACTGCAGTAGGTGCTTTTTTCATGAGGGACAGTCATTCCTTACAATGAGGAAACACTGGCACATTGTTAGTCAGTCTTCATAGGGAGCAACATTGGTATGATATTGCTCCCAAACTGACATAGAACCTTGGTTGACCATATCTCAAATTCTCTGTTGTTCATCACCTTACGTTCTCTTCTACTAAGAGCACACTGCAAGGTTTCCACTTGAGACATAGAAAAGATCATTAATGAAACAATATGATGGGCACCAAGCTAGTTGACAATAGCTGGCTTAGTGCATCTCAGGCTGTAGTCATCAACCACATGAGGTCTCTTATTATCTTTGCTTAGTGTAGGCTTCAGTGTGAGAGGAGAAAGGCAGCAGCTTAGCTAATGCAGAATAAGCCGTGATATCTTGAGTGTCTGGCTGAGTCCTAAGTCTAGGTTGGCTGTGAACTTTGCAGAGAGAATTGAACTTGCATGCATATGCAATGTCAAGACAACGTAACCAAGCAGTGTAAAATCCAATGGAACCGTAGAATGGAGTCATAGAATGGTTTGGGTGGGAAGAGACCTTAAAGCTTATACAGTTCCAACCCCCTGCCATGGGCAGGGACACCTTCCTCTAGAGCAGGTTGCTCCAAGCCCCGTCCAACCTGGCCTTGAATGCTGCCAGGGATGGAGTAGCTCTAGGCACCCTGTGCCAGCGCCTCCGCACCCTCACAGGGAAGAATTTCTTCCTAATGTCTCATCTCAATCTCCCCTCTGGCAGGTTAAAGCCATTCCCCCATGTCTTGTCACTACAGGCCCTTGTAAAAAGTCCTCCAGATTTCTTGCTGTCCTCTTTAAGTACTGGCAGACTGTTATAAGGTCTCCCCAGAGCCTTCTCTTTTCCAGGCTGAACAAGCCCAGCTCTCTTAGCCTGTCAATAGCTTTGCTCCCTGTGGGGTTGTTTAAAATTTTTACTTGGTCTGGGTTTGTTTGTGGGGCTGCTACCTCTCAGCTTTCCAGTGAGACATCAAATGAATTCCCAGGTCAGCTCAGGGTTTCAGCTTTCATTGGCTGTTGAGGTTTAAGTATTTGCAAAACTTCCCAGAGTTCAACTGCCCCTGTAGCCTGTGCTAAAAACCCAGGAGAAAGGTTTTCAGGGTTGATGTAAAGAGTCTGTGGAGACAAAATAATATTCAAGTACTACAGGAACTGTGAAAAACAACCTCAGTGCTGGTTGGTGAAGGTAGAAATCTATTTGGATCTGTCACAGGACCAATGTTGTGGACTCATGCCCTTTACTAATTTACAAGTGAAAGGTGTGATGCCTTAATTGCATCTGATGGAGATGGAGGACAGATTGGACTTTAGTTGTTCAAAGCATTTTTGTGCACTTGCAGTCTCAAACCTCAGCTGTAACTTCCACTGTCTGCTGAGCAGTAGTGGTGATTTATCAATACAGGTGCTGATTCTGTGTAAAGAAAGAAAGGCTCCTAATCTAAAAGAGAAAGTTGGTGACCCAGACTAACAGGGTAAGTACGACCCCGTCACATTCCTTGCGCTATGCATGGTCTGTGCAGGCTGAGAGGAAGTGCTAAACGCTTTTTCATTTTTTACCAAAAATTCTCTCTAGTGCAGGAAATAGAGCACTATGTCCCCGAGTACCTTTTGGAATGTGGATTATGTCTCCCCTGGTCCATGTTAATAAAAACACCAGCATCTTGGGGGTGGGGAAATGAAAATTGCAGATCTTTTCAGTGTGCCTGTCCCAGCTGGTCTTTCTTCTCTTGCTGACCATAGTGCAATGATGTGGTGCAGGCATTAAAAAGAACGTTTAAGTATGCAAAAAGATGACACTTGCTTTATCCCAGAATTTAGTTCCCCTTTCTTAATCACTTAGGAGGAAAACATTAATTATATCTATTTACATTTGATGTGTAGTACCATGGCCAGTGAAATCAAAAGAGTGGCAGAATTGCTTGCTGCCTGTAAGTCTTGGTCGTGCAAATGAAAGCTGCAGGTGTTTAGTACTTCCAAATGTCAGACTTTTCAAGCAGCCATTGATAGCTTGGCATCCTTCTTGTGCCTTCATGTACACGTGTGTGTACAAATGTGTTTGCCTATATATAAGGTATATATGCATCTATGGTCTACCCAGAACTTTTACTCAGCATAGCACTTGTGCGTAGTACCTGATGTAATGAGATAGTGGTGTTCTATGCAACTGAGCTATTACATCTTGGTGTTTTTCCACCCTTTTTCTTTTTTCCTTTTTTTTGTGCCTTTTTATTTTTAGCCTTGTGTCTTTTTATATTTCGCTCCTTGATGTAAGCAAGGTTACAAGGACCAGGGCGAGAATGTTGGCAGCTTTATAGTTCTCAGCCAACAAAACATAAACTGAAAGCTATTACTTAATTATGTTACTTCAGTTGTTTGACATATCAAGATGAAGGAATGGCTTTAGTTTTTCTTGTTTCTGGCAGGTGACAACAGTTCTTTAGTTGACATATTTTGACGTTGCAGCTTGGCCACTTAATATACAGCAGGCTCTGGAGGAGGATGGCACTGGCTTGGCAGTAGAGCTGCTCCAGCACCCCAGCAGCCTGTTTGCACGCCATGACGTTACTCTCTCAAGCAGCAAACAGGGCCTGGGAACTCCCCTGTGAATGGGGAGATTACTAATCCTCTTCTTACTGCAAGTGAACCTGATTCATTCCAGATGTACACAGATTTAATGATTCAGAAAGCTGGCTCTCTTAAAATGAGACTTGCAGCACAATCTCATATAGCCTTTTAGAGGAAGAACTGAACCAGCCTAAAATCAGTGAGGTTTTTCAGTTTCTTACTGTGTGAATTTTGCATAGGAGCAACTGCAGTGTGATCTTAGGAAACAGGTTTTCTTTTTTCTCTGCTAAGGAAAATGTTGTTAGAAACATCATTTTGGTATGATGTACTTTTAACAGAGGAGTGGTAGCTTTAGAAAAGGGTAACACAGTGCAGTGGTGCTTATTTTGACTCTTTTTTGGTGGGTTTAGTTGTAAATAGGATTTAATTTAAGTATTCTTTTATTATTCAGTAGGAAGAGTATTCTTGATTGTCTTGACTTGAGGTTAAATCTCTAAACGCTGCTACTACCAATTCAGGGAGGATTCTGTAGCATACATTGCATTTAGTGTCAAATAAAAGATAAATAAGATAAAGCATAAGACAAATATCTTGTAGTGCTCCTTCGCTTACTGGAGTGATGGTTCCAGATTTTGCTAATGAGTTTGATAGGTGCTGAGTAAGTTCTGAAGTGATTGCAGGAAGTGAGATTATAAAGTACATGAGAAATAACTCTCAGTAATAAATTACCGGTTTATTTTATTGCTTTCAAATATGCACTTTTGATAATTAGGAAATCCCAACAGATTGTTCAGTGTCTTCACAATTTGTCTGCTTTTTCTGCTGTAAATGTTGAAGTTTAAAAGCTTTCAAGTGTTTTTGTATGGTTGTGCCATTAATTTGGTATATAAGAAGCAATAACTCAAACCATTTGCACCTCTCAAACTAGTTTTGCAGTCGATCCTGCGCTGCATACGGTTTTGCAAATATTTATTCTCACTGATAGTTGACTCTGAGAACAAACTATAATGTTGAGAAAGCATTTTCAGAGTTGCTGATATGCAGAAGAGCAGTGTGTGGCAGCATATACATCCTTGGCACAGCCATTCTTTCATGGAAATTGGGTGAAAGGAAGGTGGTTTGGCCAGCTACTGGTTGCTGTGTGTCACTGTGTGCTGCTGCATGCATGTGTATTGTGTAACGACACCTGGCAGGGCCCGTGTGAGAGGGTATCTTTCCTTAGAGATGGTTCCTTTGTACTTTTGGGCTGGCTGTGCCCTATAGGAAATAATTGAGAGCCATCTCCCTGCTTTGTGCCCTTTTCTGACCAGCTACTTGCTGTATTCTCTGTGACACTATCTCTTTCTCTGTAATGTATGAATGGTCTTAGACTCCAGTAGCCAATTTGATATTTTGGCTATTTTTTCTTATATTTACATTTATACATGGTATATCCCATATTATCTCTTACTGTGCTTTTAGTTCCTAGGCCTGAAGATGTGTGCATCGATACTGTAGTTTAGCCTTTATTCCTACTTGTTAGCTCATCTTCTGGACAGCCTAGTATGATTAAATATTGAATAATACATATATGCATAGATGAATATTTATATTTGCCTCTGTGTGCATATCTGTCTGTGTTTGTAATCTGTAATGCCATATTACAATAGTGTATTGATTTATGATATATGTCTGTTATTTTAGTTTAGCTATTGCATTGGTATTGCACTTACAGATGACTCCATCAGGTTAGGTCTAGCTTAAACACCCGAAGAGAGATTAGTGAACATTTGTTGTAATTTCTGTACAAGTGAAAACACACCTGCTTCTGTATTTTATTTTACCCTCTTTATGTTTTTTCTATCCATAGCATAACTGTAAGAAGTTACCAGAATGTTAGAATAAGTTTGAATTATTGAGGGACAAACTGAAACAGATTGTGTATTTGAATGTGGGCGTATTTTCTTGAACTTGTTGCATTTCCCCTGTTCAATTACTTTACAGTCTTCAGCTATTTTATTCTCACTAAAACCATATTAAAAATAAGTCATGTGAAACAGTTCCACGTGAGGATCGTGGGGTTTCCTTACAGTCACAAAAGACTGTGTCAGAACCATGACTCGGGAGCTGCTCATTCCTAGTACACACACCCACAGCTGCACTATGCATTGGCCAGAGAGCACATTCCTGAATTACTGACTACCGAGCTTTTAAGCAGTTGAGTTGTGACAATTCTATATCAGGAAGAAAGATGGACCAGAGTGTGGAAATTACCTAGAGTTAAACCAGTGTAACTGTTTCTGCCTACAGCATTGATGACAGAACTGCCTACCTGGCCCTGGGAGCGGTGAGGAACATCTCACTTAACATTTCCATCTCTAACATTGGGGATGATGCCTACGACACCAATGTTTTCTTCAATTTTTCTGGAGAGCTCTTCTTCATCAAAATGTGGCAAAAGGTAAGAAAGGCCAATGCTGCTGAGTAGGTCTCTTAACAATTTAATTGCAAGATGTAGGCACACAGCACGGCCTGGTCCACACTGTTGAGACATGTGTACATTATTTCTGGTTATGGTGGGCTTGAATTTCTTCTAAGCTCTTTACTGAGTTTTAATTTTGTGGGTTTGATCTATGTAATTACATGCTCTGTGTTTCTGTAGAAGTCACAGCACTGTTATTTGGGGTACATTAATGAAAAAGAAAGACTGTTTGATTGAGGTATTATGGTATTAAGAGACCAATCTGGAAACTGGTAGGGTACCAAATGGTGCTGATATACACAGTGTCTCTAGTTTGAATAGTGCCACTCTGTGCTCAGCAATCCTGGTGATCTGATCTCAGCTCTTAGGTTTTTTCTTCATTGTAATTAAGAACAAAGCTGTTCTTTTCTCACATCCTGGTGCAAGTTTGGGTTGTAGCCAGGACACACCACTAGATCCAGGAGCTCAGAAGTGCATTTAATTTAATCTGCGTGGAGTCAGATGAATATTTTGAGTCAGTCTCTTCACATTTAAATTGGAATACATGGATATTTTCATTGGTATGGGTTCATTTAGAGATAAAGTTGTTGAAATGTGAACACTGAATTGAGGTTTTTGCAGACTGATGGCCTCAGAAGCTGTTTGAGCTTGAGTAATGTGAAAAGGCTTGTGCAAAATGGGAGCTGTACAAGCAAAACAACATTCTGTTTGCTCCTGCTTTTCACAATCATTTGTCTTTCTGCTGGAGCTTTGCTTTGCAAGCTGTAGGAGCAATATTAAAAAACAGTAGTATAACAGTTGCAAAGTATGGGAATAACCTGGTCCATTGTACCAATGACATTTTGCTATCACGTGTCATGTTATATGGTAGACATATGTTATATGGTAGCTTTTGGTTCTTGTAGACCTCTTCAGTGAACTCAGTGCATAATAAAACAAAATATGGTAATTTCTTATACGTGCTCTTTCAGTGTTCAGTTTTGGCTATTAAGTTTAATGCATTTGTAAGCCTCAGAAAGTTGTCTTTGTATTACAAGCTTAATTTTCAGACATGCATGCCGTTTACCAGGAGGAAGAAAGCAGGGGATAAAATATAAATGTCTTATGCCAATACGCAACTTCTTTTTAATGGAAGTTTTATGTAAAGACTTCCAGGGTCTGGCCCAGCTCCCATTGAAGTCAGTGAGAAGGTTTCCATTCCTTTGCAGTGGAAAAGAAACAAAGCTTGATGCATGTTCTTTTAAAAGGTTGTTGTGGCCTTTTCTTTTTTCCTTCTATGCTTACATGTTGAATATTTTGCACACACAGATTAACTGGTACACCAATTGCCTTCATTGTTCTTCTTGGCCAACACTGCAAGGGAACAAAATGAAGATGATGTGATGTTTCCCTTGGTATATTACCTTGAGCCTGGGTCTAATGCACACTTGAAACATCTGTGCTGAATGCTGCCTAGAAGGAGTAGTTTCTGGAAGCAAATGACATTGTTGTAGGGTTATCTCACTGCTCAGTGTGTCTTCTGCTAATAGAAGCTAGTATTTCTTTAAAGAAAAACACAGCACACAGCAAGGAAGCAGGTAGGCTTTCTTCTTTCTCAGGTCTTGCAAACAGCATCAGGGCATATAGTATATATATGGTATAATCTGCTATTAATCTGTTGTCCAGCTGTTCTTGTGATTGATTTGATAGGGTTTGGGGGGGGGGGTGTTGATGATTGTTTTAGAAGCAGTTTTGAAAACCCAAGTCACAGGGTTTTGTTGGGTAATTTTGCTTCCTCTCAGTCTGCTTTTGCTTCGGGACAAACTAATATATTCTTGGCCTCACCATTTGACCAGCTGGGAAACTGGATTAGGACCTCATAGCCTCAATTACAGTAATATGTTTTCCCTAAGTTCTCTGAACAATCATTTTTATTTATATTTGTTGTACAGTATCACAACCTCTTCCCTTCCCTTGACGTCTGTGCATAATAGAATCATAGAATCATAGAATAGTTAGGGTTGGAAAGGACCTTAAGATCATCAAGTTTCAACCCCCTGCGATGGGCAGGGACACCTCCCACTAAACCATGTCACCCAAGGCTCTGTCCAACCTGGAGATGAACACCGCCAGGGATGGAACATTCACAACTTTCCTGGGCAACCTATTCCAGTGCCTCACCACCCTCACAGGAAAGAACTTCTTCCTTATATCCAATCTGAACTTCCCCTGTTTAAGTTTTAACCCGTTACCCCTTGTCCTATCACTACAGTCCCTAATGAAGAGTCTCTCTCCAGCATGCTTATTAATATATACATATGTATAATGCATCCTGTGCATGTACTTTAAATAGATTTTGCTCCTGATTGAATACTGCCCAGGCAAAAATCCAGAACGCGAGGCCAGAATAAAAATGACGACTCTTAAGATTTCCCTTAGTGGAGCAATTTTGGAATCAAAAGAGCTTCTTGTTATGGGAAACTTTCAGCAGCAACTGCCTTTTAATGAATAACACTAAAGTGGAAGGTGATGGTCGCTTCCGTGTGGCTGCTCCCTTCTCTGCAAGGTGACTCTGAGAACCATCATCACATGGTGGGCTTCATGACCCATCTCTGGAGTTCTTTCAGGATGCTGTGAGTCCCCCATGTGTTTTTGCTGTGTCCCTACTGGGGACATATCTAGTGGATTGAGTGTGGGTTTCTTTTTCTGCAGCTTGGTTGCAGGGAGACCTGGCAATGCAAGAGGTTTAATGCTGGGTTTTTTCAAAGGAGTGATTGAGATAAAATACCCCATCTTCTGTTTGAAAAGAAATGGAGCGGTCTAGTTCAGGGATGATGATGAAGGGTCATCATTCTCTGGAGGGTCTGTGTGGATCTAGCTCCACTTTCCTGTCGACTGAGGTTTCATGAGACACTAGCTAGAGAACAGTCAGACATTAGAATAATCAACCAGGGAAGTGGGAGGTCCCCTTGAAACTGCCAGGTATCTATGATTCTGTGATACCTGGCAGGATTTTGTTTCATCTTTATGAGGTGAAAAAGCGCTTGCCAACTGATCTTCTGGAGACTCCACCTATTCCACTGTCTGATTTTCCTATTGTGCTGCAGCCAGTCCTCCCTGTCTCCATGGATGAAGCCCAGTGTTTTCTTTCCATAGCTCCTGACACAGACCTTCTCTTGAGAGGCACAGTATGGGGCACAGGATGACTTTTCATTCCTGCCTGTGCTCGCTGCAGCACTTTCAACTCTCTCATCACTACTGCCCTTTGAAGGGGCTGCCTTCACTGAGGTGCCGCTGTCCTCCTGCACTTCAAAGCATCCCTTCACCCTTTCTAAAAGAGAGGAGACTGTTCTGGGGAAATGGGCATGTAACTATAAGATACCAAATTTGTTAACTGGTGAAATTCCTGAAGATGTGGGTTACAGCTGTGGCTCTCATCTCCAGTAGCTGAGTGTACATATTCTTTTCCTTTATGTTTACATTTAGTGCCTTACAATTATGCTAGTTATTGTACCTCTCATTGGGCATGATAATACTTATTTTTCAACTCCTAAATTTGGTGGGGTTAAACTGTTTGAGATTTTAAGAAGCCAATCTTAACTGCTATTACTTATTAAAGTAACAAATAATCATCAAAAAGGACAAAGTCCTTTCAGAGGTGGGCTGAGGATGGGTGTGGTTTTGAGACAGCGGTGAAGATCAGACATTGATGCAACTCCTGTGCAGGTTTCAAGCTCTCACTCTGTAAGTATTATTTTACAGATGCATGGAAGTACCGCAGTGAATTTCCAAATGTGCCCACTAAGAAAAATGTTCCTTTTGAAATACAGGAAGATTTAATCATGACAGGGGGTTGGAGCTAGATGGTCTTTAAGGTCCTTTCCATCCCAAACCATTCCGTGATTCTGTGTTCTCTTTAAAAAAGAAATAAAGAGGCAGGGGGAAAGATCTCACCTGTCCACTTGGATTTTTTCTTTATTTTGTTGACAAAGAAATCTTGGTCCCTTTTTCAGTGTAGAGTAGGTTTTTAAATGTTTTTTTTTTTTCTAATCTTAAAGTCTATTATCCCATAATCTTAATACAGCTTCAGAAAAGCATCCTATTTCAGTGCCTGAAAAACCCGCTTAACAGAGGTGCTACCACTTTCCTATACAAAGAAAGCAGAGTGCTGCTGTGTGCTAAGTCTGGAATAAGAATAAAACACTATTGCTACTAATTTCTACACCATTTCACATCTCTTGGAACTGCCTCTTGGCTTGTGATGTTTTGCTGAAAATGCTTGTCAGCCCCTGGCACTTTGCTAACTGTTTATTAAAAGCTGCTCAGCGCAGAGGGGTATTTTCAGTACAGTTGCAGAAAAAGCACTGTAAGGTTGCTGGCAGTGGCACTTGCTGTGATATAGGGCAGAGCTATATTGTTGTTAAATCAGCTCAGCTATGGCATGAGATTTTACAGTAATAATCTAAGAATATATAATATAGTAAAGCAAACAGCAATAATCCAATATATATAGCATTAATCTCTCACTCCTCTTCAAGCACTGGCAGAAATCTATCAGCTAACCCCATTTCAGCACTAGTTATGGAGAGAGTAGGCCAGGAAATCCCATTGCTAAACATCATTTCCAGCCACAGATTGTTCCTAAATTTCAGACAGGCTCCCAGCATCCAAAGCCAGCTGTGGGTAACATTCCTGCTCTCACAGCAGCTTTTGCAAGCAACAGCTGAGTGAAGTTAGTGGGGCCAGGCCGGGGCAGGGTGAGCAGTGAGGTTATGGTTTCCTCAGGCACAGTATTTTCCCACCTTTGGTGTTGGGTGTGAATATTACCTATAACCAAAGCGATGCTCTTACTAGCTCAGGGGTTTTTCTTCTGCCTTCTAATGCAGCGCCCTCTCTTTCTGGATTAGAAGGGAGGTCTTGCACTTTGGATATGAACTCTTTCTTCCTCACTCCGAGTGTGCTGGCTGGTGTCTCTGGACTAAGACTGCCCAGAAGAGCCA